AGAAAAAAAAAAAAGGGAATTGACCTTCTTGAATGTTGTGTAGAATATGAAAAGTTGTTTGATGTAGCAGGTTTTTTATTAGAACTATTTCCTAAATAGGACAGAAAAGTGATGTTTAGGCTTCTTTTCCTTGTGTCTAAAATTAAAGAATGATGTTTATTTTTTCTTCATAGGCAAATTTCAGGTGATGATACAGAAGCTGTAGAACGTACTGAAATGCAAGGCTTCAACAGTGTAAAAAGAGAAATTATTCATGTATAAAGTATTTCAAGTAACAATGATTTAATTACAATGTTGGACATTTGTATGAGAGTACGGGTGTATTTTATCAATTCAACACAGACCAACTCAAAGCAGATAAAGGAACATCCTCCTGTGATAAACACTTTATAGATACTATTTAAAATGAAAACCTGATTTCAAATATCCAGACACCAACATATAAGACCCTTATTTTAAATATTTTTATTTGGCTATAGTGCTATATATTTAACCACAGATGGAGAAGCAAAGCTCAGGGTTTGTTGAATTCGCACGAAGAAGAAAAATATGCACCGACAGAATCATTTGTTAAGAATGAACAAATTTTGATAAAGTTTGAATTTGTTTTAGTTATTTAAAAAAGCAAACAATCCAGTAAGTTAAATTAAGCTTAATTTTTATTTTATTGCTTATAATTTATTGAGAGAACTTTATGCCTGTGTGAGGATTTCATATATACATATGTGTATACATGTGTAAATACATATACGATTGCCTAAATGGCTTGAAAACTTAATTCACTTTAACAGATTTGAGTCCTTGAGAACTACATTAATGTAATTAAAATGAGATATAGATTAGTTTAAATGTGAATTTAGTGACTCCAAGGCCAAAGAATATTAGGTATGTTGGGAAGAAATTTTTATGCTTATTGCTGTTATGGTCTTGATTTTCAACTTCTGTCTCCATGTGTGCAAGTTCTTGTGAAAGTTCTAATGTCTTTATCTTTATTCCCTTACTTAACTCTTTCACAAGGATAGAGGGGTGAATAATTGGATTAGTCACATCAGCATTCATCAGACTGTTACCTTTTGAGTGGTTTGGGATCAGTGCTTATCCTAGTGCGTGGCTCATTACAAAAGTTTGGAGACACACAAAGCTCGAGCGACATAAAATTCTAGTGGACGGAAACAAAGCCCTCCCTGCAGCACTGATCAGCCAAGGAGTGAAGTAATGGACCGTAACACAGTTTGTCTCAAAACTTTCATAATGACCCATGAATCTTTACGACCTCTTCCACTTTTCCACTTTATCTTACTAATACTTACTTAAATTATTTAGCATGAGCAGATATCTCCAATCCAGCTTTTGTTAGAACTTTGGGTATTAGAATATCACTTTATTGAAATGGTACTTCCTTTCCCAATTCATTCTTTGTTTTTTTTTAAGAGACAGAGTCTCACTTTGTCA